ATGGTCTGACATGTTACGGAACCTCGACACCGCAAGATACCAGATTGATCCGAAGATACCAAACCAAACCAAACCAAACCATCCATGTGTAGCCATCTGCAAAGTGGCAACCAGACTCCGGACCAACAACGTACTACGAGACCATCAGTTCAACGCCATTAAATGTCGCTGCGGCCACGTTGCCACAAGGTCGCATATCCTCATTCAATGCACTGAATTGAAACCCGCTCGTAAGCCACTACTAGAGTACCTGGAAACCAACGGCATACCACTAACCATACAGAATGTTTTGGCTCCACCCACGGACCACTGGTATACGATAATGGAACTAGTCTTCCATTTTATAACCAAATCTGTCTTGAACAGATAGGCTAAGATTTTTTTTTTTTTATCAAAGTTTCTTAACACTCTTTAATTATATCCAATCACTTTAACAAGTTTCATCGCAGAAACATTAGAGAACATCTCTCCCCCCTTTTGTGAAAGCTTCCCCCCCCCCCCTCTTTCCTCCCTCTTTTTCTCACTTTCTTTTTTTTTCTTTTTTTTTTCAGGTCTCCGAGTTTTCCAACAGATAACAGATAATCTAACCAAACCAAACCAAACCAACGACTACCATTCGACTACCAATCAACAAGAAATACCATGATCAGAACGAGTTTGGAAGAATGAAGGAGACCGAGTAACTCACGCCACACCATCCAGGGCCGAGTTTCACCGCCATGTCATTCGACCCGACCAGATCTAACGAAGAATCAACAACCAAACCAACAACACCGAATCATCCAATTTGATCCAATCCAACTACCAACTACTACGACTACCAACAACTACCTAGTTTGCGATATCAGCATCCGCTGGAAGCGAACGTTAACTTGTCATCTACCAACCAACCAACCGTGTTCACTACTCACTTGACTGTTAGACACCGCACTGTCCACATCACGTTAGTACTCTAAATTCAACATGCCGCCAAAGGTTTCTGCCAAAGGGGCTAAGAAAGCCGGAAAAGCAAAGGCCGCACGTAGCGGAGACAAGAAGAAGAAACGACGACGAAAGGAGTCTTACAGCATCTACATCTACAAAGTGCTGAAACAAGTCCACCCCGACACTGGAGTCAGCAGCAAAGCTATGTCTATCATGAACAGTTTCGTCAACGACATTTTCGAGAGAATCGCTGCCG